AGATTCACACCCCAGGCCTACAGTGGTGACCACTATGATGACTGTGCAGATTGATACCCCAGACCTACAGTGGTGATCACCATGATGACTGTGCAGATTCACACCTCAGGCCTACAATGGTCACCACTATGATGACTGTGCAGGTTTACACCCCAGACCTACAGTGGTGACCATGATTGTGACTGTGCAGATTCACACCCCGGGCTTACAGTGGTGACCACCAAGACTAGTTTGAGACCACCCTTTCACAGAATCTTCCTCTGAGTCCTCAGCCAGGCTCGACCAGGACCATTTATTTGTGTGGGAAGGGGATGAGCGGGCTCCTAGAATCACTGGTGCCTGAGATGTGGGTATTTTCATGTTTGCTCAGACACCAAAGGGGACTAGTTTTGTCTCATACTGTATTTTTTTCCCCTTTCCACGTGCATGTGACTGACTGGCACCACTAACTCTCTAGTTAGTTGTAACTGTTCCATAAAGTGATAAACTTACTCATTGTAATCTTTTATGATTCCCTATTTAATATTTTATGTCTAAAACCCTCTTAGAAGCTCCTTGGGGGCAGGAACCTCATCTTGTTCTTCCCTTGCATGTCTTCTCTTAGTGTCTTGCACATTTCTGAGATTGGTTGTGTTGATTTTGATAATTATTGTTATTTTTTTGTCAGCGTTTCAGCCTGTGAAAGCCACAGTAACGGTAAGGATGTTGAGGCACATATAACTTAGGAAGTTGGTAACTTACATCTGCAGATAGGTCAGAGTGGATCAACTAGTATTTCACTTCTTCTCGTCTTCTTGCTGTGAGATTTAGTTATTACGGCAATGGAAAAAGTCAAGTTCAGAGAGGTACAGCAACTTACTGAAGGTTGCACAGCTCAGAAGTGGAAGCAGGATAGGCAGGGCCATGGGCCTGGACTGTGGAAGGTTTATAATGCACAGTGCAGTCAAGGGCATCCTTGGGTTCCACAGAATTGAATCTTGCTGCCTTCAGCCTTGTCCTGGTCAAAGGACGTAGCAAAGTGTCAGGTCTGAGCTGCGAATTCGGGAGGACTGGGTCAATCTTTCCCCCTGAGAGCAAGGCTCTTTAGGAAATCATTTCCTCATGTTCTTTTTTGAAAATAAAGGTTCTGGACTGTATACATAATTTCCATTATTTTTTATTACATCAGCACACAGCATTGCTAACATCTAGCGTTATGATATCCCTTCCCCAATGTTTCATATTTTAAAGACATATTGAAGGAAAAAATCAGAATAATTTTTCATAGTATGATGATCCCAGAGTGGTCAGAGACACTTTCTTTTGTCTGCTCCATTCCACTTGGCATCTACCTCACATTTTGCCAACATCTGTAAGAAAGATAGAAAGAGGGGGAGGCAGGAGATCCCTCTGGTGGAACATGTGGGCCGTGGACACACCTGGATCCTCTTTTCAGTTGTTTTGGGCTGTTGAGGCCTCTAGGGAAGGATATCGACGCACATACAATAAAGGAAGTCACTAATTTCTGTTACTTAGCTCAGGGTTAAAATCTGATTTTTCTATCACTTCCATGTACATTTTGCAAAAGAAAAATACAGGGGACTGACACGTGGGCTTTCCTTTGGATGTGCCCCTCAGGACTTGTTTATGAGTGTGGTAGATAAGGCTGTACCTATAGCTGCTAAGACACTCACTTTTATTTAAGAATGTTCTGTTTCCAGAGCCAACATGGGTTGAACATAGGTTTTGACCCATGTCTGTTGGACCAGGAAGATCTTGAGACTTCCTTCCACTATGGGGTCTCAGTAAACCGACACAGCGAGGTGACTTTGCTATTCCATAGCAAAGTCTCTTCTCTTCTCAGTAAAGCTAGACAAAAACCAAATTCAGGGCTGAGGATGTAGCTCAGTTCTAGAATGTTTGTATAATAGGTCCCAGGACCTGAAACAGCTCTCTACAACTACAGAAAGCAACCTTCTGTAAGTTATTATAGGGAATATATTGCACGAATTTATATATTTATTCAGTTAGTAAATCTTAATGATTTAGCCAGTTAGTAAATCTTAATGAGAAGCCATCACTGGGATGGTGGATCTGCTGATGGAGGTCAGGAGACTGGGGAAGGCATCACAAACCGGCATCTTCTGCTGCATCTTTGCTTTTCTTTCGTACTCTAACACCAAACAACACACTCACGCGCGCGCGCACACACACACACACACACAGAAACACACACTCAGAGATACATACACAGAGATATATATACACAGAAGTACATACACAAACACAGACATACACAGACACAAACACAGACATACACAGACACACACAGATACACAGACACACACAGACATATGCATAGACATGCACATACATACACAGATGTACATACAGATGTACACAGATAAACGCATATATACACATGCATGCACAGGTGAAAATTAGAGCTAGATGTACCCATGCATTTGATTTGCAGATATTTTAAAAGCTAAGCATGGAGTCAAAGTCAAGGCTGGTGTTTATTATGCTTGGACATGAGCATCAGTTCGGAGTGGGCATGAGGGGCTATGAGTAGAAGATGAAGCAGGTATGAACTTCAGACAAACCAAAATGGTTAATCTCAACTATCAGACTGAGGAGATCTAGGATTCCCTGGGAGATGGTCTTCTGAATGTGCCTATGGGGGATTATCTGAGATAGGAGGACCTGCCTACTCTGGGCGGCACCATCCCCTCTGCTTGGATCCTGAGCTGTCTCTAAAGGAGAACATTGGAGTACTAGCCTTTCTCCCTCTCTGTTTCCACAGTGCAGATTCCCTATGACCAGGCACCTTCAGTGCCTTTTCTGTCAATTCCATGCCGCAATGGACGGTAACTGGATCATGAGCCCAAACAAACGTATTCCTTACTAACTTGCTTTCGTCAGGGCATTTTATCATGGTAGTGGGAAGCAGAGCGAAGACACAAGCTGAGCTTAAGAAATAATAGTATGCCTGGAACCTAACTTGCTTTACTGAAGGAAACCATATAGGGTTGTGTTAAAAGCACAAGTTACACAGTAAGCACGTGTTCAGATCCAAGTGTGAGCTGGGTGAGTGTTTTCTCATCTGAAAAGGTGGTAGTTTTGAGCCGATTCACATTAGTTTTCTAGGACTACCATAGCGAGGCCCCACTGTGGAGGTGGCTTAAACCGCAGTCACTTCCTTTCTCACAGTTCTGAAGGACAGAGGTCCATGGCCAAAGAGCAAGCAGGGTGGTTTTCACGGAAGACTGGCTCCTTGGTTTGCAGATGGCTGGCCCCTGGCTGCCTCTTGGCATGGTTGCTGCCCCTGGCGTCTTTCTCCTTTGTCCTCATCCCTTCTTTTTCCAAGGACGCAAGCCAAATGGCTTAAGAATTGCTTCGGAGGTCTCTCTTGAGCTTGGCCATTTTAAAACGCAACCACATTCTCGCATCTGTAGGGGAGGGTTTCAACGTGGATTTGTGGGCACACAATTTGGTTCCTAAAAAGCGACCACATAGGGTTGTTGTAAGGACTAGTTATATGAAAGCAACCACACAGAAGCTGCCAAAAGAGCCTTTCTGTTCTTCCAAACAACAACAACAACAACAAAAATCCCAGAGGAGAATATTAAATTTATATAAGACATGAATACATTGCGAAATTTTTGAGAAATGGTATAGATGACAAGCGTGGGACGTTTTCAACTCTCTTCTTTCAATAAAGAATATATTCTTGTTAATTACTCGAGGGGTTCATCTTTGCATGAAGTTCGGGTTGTGTCAGTATATCCTGGAGAGGCCATATAATGGGCCTGTTACAAAGGGCTATAGCAATGGATGTTCCCTAAAGAGGATCATTTGCTTGGATGTGAGATGGGTCCTCTTATGGAAGATGGGGACTGCAGGTGGGGAACAAGGCAGATGCTGATATAAGGATAATATGGATTTAAGAAACCATATTCAGTAAATTAAATTTGAAGATGGGCGCTTAAAAGAAATCTCACACTAGCTCAGAACAGAGAAAAATAGATGGTTATTTATTTAGGGGTAGACTCACAGATCACAATCCTTTGCTGGAACAGAGCACTGCAACCGAATCCCACAGCTAGAAAAGAGGCTGGACACACACTTTACATTGGCATAAATAGTATAAGAGGCCATGCCCAAGTGGGTGGGTAACTTAAAGGCTACTGGCATAAATTGGTCTCAGAAAGACACCTATTGCATTTTTTCTCACTTGTGGTTCCTAGATTTTATATAGACAGAAAATCATGTGTGTATACATCATTTGAAAGTAGAAACAAAGCCATCTTGGGGGAACAATGGGGACCAACACAAGGAGAAAGGCTGAGAAAAGAGGGTGTGGAGGGTATGTGGGGAAGATTTTTTTTGAGTGTATTATATTCTAGGCTATGAATGACTTTATGTATTACAGTGCCATAACAATGAGTATACACCAGTAAAAGACAAAAGAAACCTGGAAATTCGCTCTTGGTAGTGATCTATTAAAGGCAGTTTTCACTGTGTGGAGGTGACCTGGGCAGTACCAAGAGATCAGCATTGTTAGAGTCTACATCCTGCAGACAAGAACTCTAGCTATCTGTCGGCGGATCCAAACACTTCATGCACCTTTCTTCCTAGTTCTTCGTGTGTCTCCCAAACTCTGGTAAAATGGGTGCCCGACTGCTCTGTGAATTATGGGATGGATCAGCGTCATCAGAGGCTTTCCCTCTGAGCTGCAGTGCCCTGTCTCAAGAAAGAGGCTGGGTGGGGACCCTGGATCCCATTAGGTCACGTTTCCACTAAAGGACTTGTCAGAACCCACAGGTTCTCAGCACTCATGGGCTGCACTTCTTTAGGGGAGTCTCCAGGAGAAGCCATACGGCTCTGGTTGTCTCCTCTTTCTCTAATACTTGACTCTCCCGAGTCTCTAGGATCTTTATGTTTTATTTGATAACAGACACTGACTTGAAAGTGGACAAGACTGAAGGCTTTGTGTGAAATGCAAATCCTTCTTCCCAGAGCTGTGGAGATTGGCTGCTCAGATACAGTGTGCTCTGGGGGAAAGCCAAGGTGAGTCACACAATCATGGTCAATATATTATTAATTATCCTCATGAAAACCTTAATAGTCAAATGGTATTGCCTGTGTTTCAGGGAAGAAGACTAGTTCGGATAGGTCAACAATTCACTAAAAGGCCTGGCTCTGGTGAGTTGCTGAGCTGGGCCTCAAACAACTAATGTCTGTGTGACTCTTGAGGTCACTGTCCAGGGTCTCTGGAGGACATGGCTTCTCAGACTTCCTATCCATCAGCCTTTCTGTTCTGTGCTTTGGTCTTCCATCACAACTGGAGTCTGCTTGGACCCGAGCACCCTTCCCAGGGCTGCTGTGCTGGGAACTAAGATCAACTGGTGGTGATGGCTTTCTCAGATTTCCTGTGTGCTCAGCATTTCCGAATATATTTATGTGAGCTTTAACGAGAGCCCATCATAAAATTACAATAACACCTTCTCTCAAAACATATGCTATTGGGATGTCAGAATAATCACACATCTTACACTTGTTATATTTTCATAAGAAGAATTTTTTTAAAAAATAAATATTAATCCATTCTCTATAAACAGCCCTCACATCTCCGGTTTCCTGTCATCGTACCTCAACTGTTAATTCTCTTCTGTTTATGACCAGACTCCTCTCTGCTCTCCCTATCTCTGATCTATTTCTGTCCTGTCCATTTCCCCCTTGGCAGCTAGAATAACCTTTCTAGAACACAGGTCTGGCCACGCTGCCTTTCTATTTAAAACCCAGTTCAGCCCTTCATTGTCCTAGAGGACAATATTAATCCTGTGGCATGTTCGGGGTGACCTTTGTGCTGTCCTGTTGGGCCACCATCAGCCCTCACCTCATATCATTTGCCAGCTCAACCCCTTCAAGGGATGTGCTGTTTCCCAAACTCATGGTCCCCGGTCCCCTAACTGTCCTCTTGACCTGCCCAATCCAATCCCTTTTTTGAATTTCTTTCCTATATGAATTATCTCAACTGTCCTTTCTTTTGAAAAATGAACTAATTAATTCCTTTGAAATAGGCTCTCCCTATGTAGCTCAGGTTGGCTTGGTACATGCTATCTAACCGCGTTGACCTTGCATTCTTGATCCTCCTACCTCTGCCTTCTGATGCTTGGATTAAAGGCATATGCTACCATTCTTGGCCTCTCTGGAAGCTTTTCTTATGTAATAGATATGGTTAATTTCTCCTTCATGTGATTTTTTTAAAAAAAATACTGACAGTAACTAGTTTTCTTGTGGTTTTGACAGCATGCTTGATGAAAAGTAACATATGGGAGGAAGGATTTATTTGACTCACAGTTTGCTCTCAAACTGTGGTAGGTCCATAATGTCAGGGAAGGCCTGGTGGGATTCATGGAGGTGGGACAGTGCCGCTGGGATGCCTTGTATCTTAGAGAACCAGAAAGCAAAGAACTAATAAGGCCATACTCACCTCTCTTTCTTCATTTTTATTCAGTCCAGCACCCGAGCCTGAGGGATGGTGTCATCACACTTGGGGTCTTCCCTCAGTTAATCTCTATGAACTCTCGCAGAATTCTTTAAGAGTGTGTCTCCTAGGTGACTCCAAATCCAGTCACGCTGATGTACCTGTAGTAGATATCTCTTATCTGACTACAGCTTTGCCTGCTTGAAGACAGATATGTCCTTCATCTTTATATGTGTGGTGCCAGAGCCTATGTTCTGATAAACTGCACGGTGACCATTTTCAATGTCACTGGCTTCTAAAGTATAAGCTAACCTCATCCTGTGGCTCTTTTATGGGTTGATGGAAATGCTCTTTTTCAACCCTGTGTAGTTTGGTAGCTACCGCCTACATGTGGATGTTGAATTTTAATTTAGTTTTTTATTCATTAAAATGAAATTAAAGGGATCTGAAGAGATGGCTTTAAGATTAAGAGCAATGGTTGCTCTTCCAGGTTCAATCACTCGCACCCACAGGATGGCTAACAACTGACTCTAACTCCAGTTCTGGGGGATCCAATACTGTTTTTCTGTGTGCACGAAGTGAATATATATATTCACAACACAAAGGCAGAGCACTCATACACATATACTAAAGAAAATAAAACTTGAAAATAAATTAAGTGAAAGCAATCAGGAACACATGACATGGTGGCTGCCTTGTGTGTGGTTGGACATGGAACAAGCAGACCAAGACAAAGAAGGGAAGTCAGCAGGAAGTTATTTCTCTATAAGTAGCATTGTCCCTATTTATTTATCAATATTTTATCTATAAATGCTTTAAAGGAGAAAGTCTTTTATATCTTTCTTCCTAAAAAGAATTTTTTTTTTGAAACAAGGTTTCTCTGTAGCTTTGTTGCCTGTCCTGGAACTAGCTCTTGCAGACCAGCCTGGCTTTGAACTCCCAGAGATCCACCTGCCTCTGCCTCCTGAGTGTTGGGATAAAAGGTGTGCACTACTACCACTCAGCTTAAAAAGAAATTTCTTATAATTAGTGTGCATGAATTAACAGGATTTTAGGAGTTTGTACCTCTCCAGTGGATCAAGCAGGGAAGTGTTTCTGGAAGCAGAAGGATTTATTCTGCCCTGGATGCAAGTCTCACATAAATCTGGGGTCAGTGAGGCCACAGAGCCTTTGCGAAGTTAGCGTTCATGGCATGTTTGCTTCAGCCCACCAATTCCACCTATCATCTCTCTGAAAAATCCACACTTCCTTCCAGTCACTTTCCCAACAGACCCAACAATTTGGCAAGTTCTGCTTTTACATTTATTAATCTGCTCTTAGTGGCATTTTCAATGTGTATGTGTGTGTGTGTGCGTGTGTGTGAGAGAGAGAGAGAGAGAGAGAGAGAGATACACAGAGACAGAGAGAGATAGGGACAGTGAATGAGAGGAGAGACAGAGATATAGAGACCAAGAGAATTATTATTACCTGATGATAGAGGCCATGTCTTCTATCCTTGTTGGTTGAAGATATCTTTAGAAAATATATTGGTTTCCTATGGCAACGGTGATAAAATGTTCTTGGTGGCTTAGGATGACACAGATATCCTCTCTTACCGTTTTGGAGGTCATATCTAATCATTGTCCCTAGGCTGCACAGCAGGGCTCTTATTTTTCTGGGGTCTCTGGAGGAATCTGTTTGCTTGCCTTGTCTAGCTTCTAGAAGCCACTAAAATTCCTTGACTCTTGATCCCTGCCTCACATCACCCCAGCCTCTTGTTCTTTTGGTTTCTTTATTCCATACTGATAGCCCTTTAATAAGCTCCCATGATTACAGTGGGTCAAGCCTATGATAACCCAGGCTAACGACTCAAACTGGAAACCCTTGAATTAATCATACCTACAACTTGATTAATTGGTAAAGGAATTATCTATGGGTATGGATGTCTTGGGCAACCTTTTTTCAATATACAGATAATCACATTGTTTATAAGCAGGGTTTTTTTTTTTTACTTTTAAATTCACATACCTTTTATTTTTTGCCTGGCTCTTTAGGATTACTGAGGACCCTAATACATATTTAACGGGTGCCAGCACAGCAAAGCCTGTACTCTGGCTCCCGTGGTGATAGCTGTAATATTTCACCATCACGGTTCTGCTTGCTGTGGGTATTTGGCTGGTATCTAATCAGTTCTACAAAGATGTGTCATTACTAGCTCCCAACGCTGATTCTGTGCTGTTTATGTTCTCCGGGTTGCCGAAGACTCTTCTAATTGCCCATTGCTGCCTGACAGCTTGCGGCTCAGCTGCTGTGGGCACCACCCCCTTACATGCCCATCTGCTGAAGTTGGCCTGGCTAACCAGATCATTGGGTCTGGGGCCACGCATGCCGCTTGGTTCCTCCACTAGCACAGGGAGGTTCAATGGGACCTCGTCTACCTTCCTGCCTGGGAGCTGCTCTTGCTGGTCCTCTGTGTTGCCTCTTGGGGTTCCCATTTCTAATATTTAGGTAGTTGTGTTACATGTTACATGACCCTAACCAGCCCCTAAGGTTGACTTGTGTTATGTCTGCTGATGTCATATGGTCCAAAGTAAGTCACAGGACTATTCTGTGTCAATCTGGAAGGAATTACATAGGAGTCTGTATATGCATAGGGAAGCCTTCATATAAAATTTGCTCTACACAGCATTTAGTTTTGGGATACAACAAAAGCTAAGGGTCCACTCCTATGTGTACATGGTATCTGCTCTGTTATGCAATTTGCCTTCCAATCTCTGTCTTTTCACTGTGCAGACCCTTGGCTGCTGAGGATAGAAGGCAAGGGACAAGACACTTAGTTCTCAGTTGGACTTGGCTGTGACGAAACTCTTAGACCCCAGTATTCTTTCTCAGACACCACTACAAGTCTCCATCCCAAACACAGAGCCATTTATCTTTAGGCTGGCTCAGGATAGTCCTTTACTGGCACGGGAGAGATCTGCGGACCCTTCTGGCCTGCCCACCTCCAGCCTTCCACTCACTACTCCCCATTCCACCAAACAGACAGGAGCGTTCCTTCTTATTCTCTTTTCCAAATGGAGAGCGTAGGAAATCTTCCTCTGTGTCACACATTCTCTCTGTGTCTCTGTCCTTCTCTCCCCCCTTCCTCCTGCTTTGCCCTTTGTAAATTTTAGCATTCTCACTCTAGGCTAAGGTTATAAAGTGGGATGCTCACACATCCTTCACGCACAAGTGTGGTTGAGTTTATGTGCTATTCAGGAAGCCCCGGGTACTTTGGTGATGAACAGAGCAAGGGACACTTATGAGCAACTGCGGAGTAGTTAAAATGATGGATGGAGAAGTATGGGGTAGTATTCGGCCTCTGGTCAGGTCACGGAGGAGAAAGGCAAGAGTAATTAAAGCGGCAGGATAATGCGTCTCAGCGAGAAGAGCCTGTCCTCTACAGGCTCTGAGCAGTCAGCAGGGATGGCGGCAAGGAAGGGGAAGAGGTGATGGAGATGGCACATTAGCATGGAAATGAAAGAGGAGGTGAGACACTGGGTGAGCAGAAGGAAGGATCAGGGCAAGGGCCACATGAGAAGGTCCCAGCTTTCAGGGAGCAATTTGCACTTCTTAGGCTCCAATTTCAGGGTAGGCTAGGAACCCCTCCTCTATTCGACTCTTCAGTGGCTGGCAATAATTTCTTTACCGTAACTCTGCTCACTGAGGATAGGAAATGGATACTTGGAATCAAATTTTCCTTCTCCAAAGTCCCTGGACAAGCAACAAAGACTTCGCCTTTTCTCTGTCCCAGAAGACTTTTCCTTTCTGCCCTTGGAGTCAGAAAGAGATGGGACTCTCACCAGCAGAGACGGGTATGACCCCTGACTCCTGCTACCTCTGGCTTCATCTTGTGACCTATGAGTTGAGGCTAGGCATAGGGCTGCAGATTCACGAACTCGCTGTTTACCTTATGTTAGTTATTGGCTTTGCCAACACAATGGGCATCGTTGGTAGGTCATGTGACATCTCTGTCAGACTTGTCAACTATGGTGTGCTTTGAAAGCTGACTCATGGGCTTTATGCTACACTTTCTGATTCTATATTTTTCTGAACCCTGGAATCTGCATTGTTAGCAAACTCCAGAAATTATGTTTTTGAATACGTTTAAGAGTACTTCTATGGGGCACACTGTCTCTGAAGTTCTTTCTCTGTCCGGTTCCTTCCATCCAGCATAGATTCCATGGGTAATGTGGCAGTTCCACAGGGAAACATAGAGTCAGCTCTTCTGGACTTTCTGTCCTGTCCCACTGACTCTTCTACCAGAGTGAGTTCCGCATTTGTTTGTAGTGGTAATACGTTTTTACTCTTGTGGCTCTTTTGGGGGTAGGGGCCCACCACCAAGCTCCCAAATGTATCACATGGAGGTTTATTCTTGGCTATGAAATGTCTGGCCTTAGTTTGGCTTGTTTCTTGCCAGCTTTTCTTAACTTTTATTATCCTGTACCAGGAGTTATGGCAGTTGGACATTTAAAAGAAATCCCACACTAGCTCAGAAATAAAAAATAGATAGGCATTTATTAAGGGGTAAACTCACAAATCAGAATTCTTTGCTTGACTGGTTGAATCACATGACCCAAAGGAGCGGCTGACCAGGCATGGAGCAAGGGGAACAAAAGAAGGGGTGCAAGCACGCTCGGCTTCCCAGTAAATAGTAAGAGAGGCCACGCCTCAGTAGCCGGGCTAATACAAGCTGTAATACTTCCTACAGCACCTCCCCTTCTTCTTTAAATAAGAGAGTTCTAAGCCTAATACAGAATCATATATAATTAGAACAAATATTCTATTCTAACTAGCTTAAGTCTTGTATAACAAATAACTTGGCCAAGTCATGAGAGGAAAGTAACTACACTTCTCTAGTCTTCAACCCTATCGAAGATCCAAGAAGGGAAATAATGTTACCTGAGTGAGTAGGAAGTGCAATTAAGCAACTTTCAAAATATTCAACAAATGACAGAGACAACTGGCTACCTGGACAATCACCCAAAGTCTCATTTGCAACATTGAGGCAACCAACTTTGGTGAAGACCTAGAATAACTGACAAACTATTTTTAAAGGCAAGAAAATTTTCAAAACCTTCAAATGTCTTACCCTGTCTTGGCAAGATTTGACAGTCCTCCTGATCCATTTTTGGATACCACGTACTTTATCAGTGGTTGAGGTATGGGCAGTTCCTTGCCCAAAGGTCGGTTTGACCAAGAAGAAAACAAGCTCCAAGTGGAGTGTCTTTGGTGCTCAACATTCTCTCAGGAATAGATCAGTGCTGCCAGGAGCGATTGTGTCTCACTTTAACAGGACTCTAAGTTATTTAAATGCCATTTTCTACAGCTCTTTGAAGTGGTTGAAGATTATCTGTTTATGTAGAATATAATCTCTATATATCTAAAGAATCTGATTAGTCTAACTATAAGATGACAAACATAGATGACTATTGATCTATAATTCTTAATACCTATATAACTTAAAGACTAAGACAATAAACAACTGTGCAATAAATGAGGACAGTGACCTTCAAATGTAAACAATGTATAAGTATCTTGATCAGATGTAGAAATGTACATTGCAATATGGCAAATATATATCAATATATAGAAAATATTTTGAACAGAGGTAGAAGCAACCATGCTTCAATGTTATTTAACTTTGTATCAATATACAAATATAAATAATAGCTCAGAAACCAATCTATTATTCAATCTTCCAATTTTCCTATTTTTTTTTTTAACAAAACAATACCCGAGCTTATAAAAACTTTCTATAACATTATCCTGTCTACCTTTTTGCCTCTGGGCTTTTCCCATTCTCTTGCTTCTGTAAATCTTACTCTTACTCTGTGGATTTCTGTGTAGCTGGATGGCTGACCTCCTTTGGCTACTTCTTCTCTCCTAGATTTTCCTTCTGTGTATTCTCTCTGCCTGCCACCCCCACCTATCCTTTCTCCTGCCTCGCTATTTGTTGTTCAGAGCTTTATTAGACCATCAGGTGTTCTAGACAGGCAAAGTACCACAGCTTCACAGAGTTAAACAAATGCAACATAAACAAAAGTAACACACCTTATCACAATATTCCCCAACACTTGTTTTTCTCACCTTTTTGTGAGAATCAAGCATCCAGTCTTCAACTCCTCTCTGTGTAGGTGCCCAGTAGGGAGGAGGCTGGGGACACTTTAGGTCTCGGGGTCAGGCTTCAGACCTATCTGGGGACTTTCTAAGTGGCTTGAGTAGTGGGACTGGAACCACTTCCAGGTCTGTGTCTAATCTTCTTTGTGGTTCAGATCTGTCCTTAGAATCTCCTTGTTTTGTTAGCAAGTCTTCTGTCTCCCACAGAGCTAACTATTATCTGAGAAGAAAGACAACATTTATGACAAAATTATTCAGGCTTTTCCAGGAAGATATCTATCCATCCATCCATGTATCCATCTATGTATGTATAATGTATCTATCTCTATCATTTATCTGTCATCTATCATTATCTGTCATCTGTCCATCATCTATCTATCTATCTATCTATCTATCTATCTATCTATCTATCTATCTATCTATCTA